AAAAAAAAAAAAACGCGATCCAATCCCTATCCGACGCGAATCGACAACAACGACACGAGCTTCATTTTCGATTAATTCATTAGAACAAGGTATATTGGCTTATCTCAACTTTTTACATTGTTTGGAGTTGTTTGGAAATTGAGAATTGTTATAGTATGTTTGAATGTGGTGGTGTTTAAAGATTGAGAATTGTTAATTGTTTATCGATTATGTGTGTATGTTGAATTGGAGATTGGAATTTTGTTGTAAATTGTCAATTGTGTATTAGTTGGTTGTTGTTGGGCTTAGGGTTTTCGAATTAGGGCTTTCAATTTATTCGAAATATAGATGAATTGTATGTTATTGTTGGATTATGGGTATTAGGGTTTTGGAGGATTATTTGATTGGAAATATTTATTTTGGTTTTTTCGTTGGAGTAAAAAAAAAAATGTTTTCCAATTTAGAATGGTAAAAGAATAATTGAATTTTTTGGGTGTTGGATTAGACATTATGTGTTGTTGTGATTTGGAAGAATTGAAAGTGTTTTTTTTTCAACAGGTATAAATGGCGTATTCCGGACCATACCTTATTAATTTGTACTGACATTTTGCGAAGGAAAGGTTAAGTGAATTTGTTTTATTTAAAGATCGTCCGGATGGTTCTTTTCTTATTCCGGAGAGGATATCATATCAACAATTAGTAGAAATGATTAATGAAAATTGTTGGTTTGGAGAAGGTTGGACAATGAATGAGATTACTTTGATAGTTATCCAACCCGGTGGCTCGTTGAATTCTTAAGACTCAATAACGATAGTGTTCTTCAGTATATTTATTACCTTCCTCCTATGTCCATGATGTATTTGCATTTATCGTTGGAGGCAATTACACCGGTTACACAGGTTGAGGATGTGTGGGGATGTTACGGGGGAGTGGTGGATGTTGAGGGTACGTCGACTTCGCATCTACGTAATTTTGGAGAAGAGACAAGCTCAACAATGCAATGGGAAAATGAGAACTGGAAAGAAGAAGAAGGTGATGAAGATTTCATTTCTGGTGAAGATGATTTCACAGATGAGACCTCCGAAAGTGAATCAGACGGATCGATAAATGATGCGAGTGAACTAGAATTGATTGAAGAGGAAGACCCTCTTCCTAGTTGTGGTCGCCACATTTATCGAGAGATGGGTGAATGGGAGCCATCGAAGATAGATAAGAACGAGTATGCTCTTCCACGTTGGAATTGCAACATTGAGACCATACGTTTGGGTACAGTTTTTAAGAGCAAGGAAGAAGCACAATCCGGTATCTTGGCTTGGAACGTTGATAGGCTGACGGCGGTTCGGACAACAGATTCTAATCAAAAGTCATACAAAGTGGTCTGCAGATCTAATGAAGATGAACCTTGTGTGTGGAAGGCTCGGGTGACTAAGAAGCGGGTTCATGAAATGTGGGAATTAGCTGAATGGACTGACAGACACCCTTGTATGCAACGGATCATGAGAAATGACCACAAAAACGTAACCGCCCGTATGATTTCAAATCTTGTAATTAACAAGATTGAAAAGAAACTGGACTACAACGTTAGACTGATCCAGGCCGATGTGAAACAGTGTTGGAAAGTCGATGTCAGCTACAAGAAGGCGTGGCACGGAAGGAGAAAAGCCATCGAGCGTGTGTATGGCTGTTGGGAATCGAACTTCGCAGAACTCCCTCGGTAAGCAAAAATTAATTACAAATACATGTGTCGTTTATCTGTCACTATGTTTATCTATTTATGAAACTGTTTTGTAATCTGCAGATTTTTTGTCGCGCTTCAAAGAGCGAATCTCACCACAGTTGTACAGTGGGAATGGAAGGGTGGGGAAATGGTGCATCAGTATCAAGACAGACAATTCAAATTTGTATTCTGGGCGTTTGGTCCCGCCATTCAAACCTTACAACGATGTCCGCCGGTCATTAGCATCGATGGCACACATTTGCGCGGATCGTACAAGGGAAAATTGTTTGTGGCTATAGCACAGACAGCGAATAAGCGGCTATTGCCAATCGCCTATGCGATTGTTGATGAAGAAAGCAAGGATAGCTGGTCATTTTTCCTGACAAATGTGCGGCAATATGTTGTGTTCGACCGACAGATCTGTGTTCTTTCCGACATAAATAACGACATACTCAGTGCCATTGACTCGTTGGTTGGTTGGCAAGAACTCGCTGCATATCACCGGATTTGCTTTCGATACCTTCGAAACAACGTGGTCACTAACTTTAGGAATAAGAAAGTGCATGATTGGTGTTGGGATTTAGGTTCGCAGTTGTCGGAGCAAAAGTTTTGAGCGACAGAACAATGACTGTTGGAATTTAATCCCCAGACACACAAGTACCTTTTCGATATTCCCTTGAACAATATGTCAGAGAGCTACAACAACGTCTTGAAAGGCGTTAGATTCCTGCCGTGTAAAGCTTTGGTACATGCCACATTGGACAAAACTCTGGATTTGTTCGAACAAGAACAAAAGAAAGCCACGAGATGCATGAGTCTCATTGCTACTCAACACTATATCGCCTATTTGGAATTGGAGAAGAGAGACGCAACCCATACTGTGAAATATGTGAACGCTGAAAGGTCCAGGTACAAGGTCAGAACCAATCTACGGGCTAGTAGGAGAGGGCAAAACAGGTATATGATTTTTCTTTTTTTCCATTGAAATTTTTGAATTTTTATATATATAAATGATTGTTTGTGTTAACAACTAT